TCAAATTAAGTAATACTTTTCTGAGTATCTGATCACAGATAACATCTTATCGTGTAGGAAGAGCTCCATCTAATCCCCTCTGGGACTATTTTCAATAATGTGATAATATATATATACGAAAATCGGGAGCGCGCAAAGTTACATAGGGACTACAAGCAAGATCACGGACTAAGAGGCGTCCGGCCGATCACATATTCCCCGAACTACATATCAATCCTTGGGAAAGATAATGTGCTGCAAAGGTTGCGGTCTTTATTTATTCTTTATTGCAAAACAACAATGATACAAAATACAAACATATATACTAGAACGGAGTGCAATGGGCGGCCTTATCGCTAACAAGCGATCTCTTCTAGGCAAACTAAAGTTAAGAAAAAAATAGAGAAAATGACATATGCAAGGTAGGCGAAACACAATTAGAATACTAACAATAGATTAATAATAAATAAAAACTAAACACAACTAAATCATTAAAAATAACAAACATATTTTATCACTAGGTTCACATGGAACTGCCATATTTGTAAGATAAGTCGCCGTTAATTGCGTATCGCTTCGATTCGAATCGCCCCCTTTGTCTATTATGATTCTTGTTGTACATAATCAGATAGAGAACGTTGTTTGCAATTGTGTTGATCGCCTGTTGTTATGTAAATATTATTTTCTCTTATCTCGCTTTTAATAGTGGGTCTTGACTCATCAGTGCTGATAACAGTGCTGGCGACTGAAAATTTACATGTAATTTTAATAATTCTGAAGGCGATTTTCCCAAGCGTTGCGTGCTCGAAATTGTTTTAAGTGTTGCCATTTTACGGAAGGTAACGCGTGTTTTTTTAATGGGCGATAGATAACAAGACGGGTTTTGTTGTGTTCTTACTTATATCTGTGTAATTTTAACGTATACATGTCAAACTACTGGGCCCAGGTCTCATGTTTTAGTGGAGGGAGCGATTACAACAACAATTGGTTGTAGAATTGAATGAATGCTGTTTCTAAATTAGTCTTGATAATCGGTACGGAAGCATCTCCAACTTTAACTTCTATTAGACAACTACTGGTCAGTGTACCTATCTACTAGACCAAGGCGGGATTTCTATGCTTAATGTAAAATAAGAGTACATTTATTTATAAGAGTTTGCCCTTATAATATATATAAAATAACCGGTTTAGTAGTTCCTACTATAATGTCAAGTCACTTTTGAGGATATAATTCTTGGTCTACCACTCCGCTACAGTTGTTAATATTAGGCCTTGATTCCTAATACATTTCGGGTAAGAATACAAACACAGAATAATTATTGTAGCCATTTTAAGTACTTTGCATCCGTGGTAAATATGTATTACGCAAACATACTTGGAAGTTCGAGTATTATTTTGACAACCCTCTTCGAGATAAATCGAACATGCTCTACCTACTAGCGGCGGCTGGCAATAGTTGTATGAAACGGCGTCTCTCGTGTTTAGCGGCCAAATAAATTACTATGTAAGATCATATTTATCGTTTAATTTAAAAATGGAAAGATCTTCTATTCCGCAAGATGGCGGCCCAAGGGTTAACTTAGCAACGGTTTTATTTAAAATTCGCACTGGCAATAGAAACAGCACATAGAAAGGTGAAAGTGAAAAAAAATACCTGGACGCGTAAAAAACTATTGTTATTAGTTTTTTATCAACTTCGACATTCGTTTTAAAATTTTGTATTATACGACTTCGTTTGAAAAACCTTGTCCGTAAGTAGGGGAGACCGGGGCTAGTTGACCAATTTTCTGCCTAAATGTTTATATTTTTATTTCTATAGAGTATATTATTTTAAAAACGGGTGCAATTAATAGATACACTATAAAGCTTTGAAAAGAAGTGACACAAAGCGTGTTATTCATCATAATAATGAGTACAGGCCAGTTTTTGTGTGATAGGAAAAAATCCGTCAGGTCAAATCTATGCGATGGGTTCGTTCTGAATACTATATTGATCTTTGTACTGTCGCCACCATAATGTGGCTTCGCACACCCTGACGCGTCTGACGTCCCGGGGCGAGGCACGCACGCCGGGACCCTACGGCGACGCATTGGCGTCTCATGACTCCTTTCAATACAATCGTGCTCCTCTCGTAAATTTTAAGACGTCACCTCACTGTGTCGCTTGTAAGGTGAAACAAAGGTCTTTGACAGTATACTCGGGTGCGGAAATGTTAACCGAGTTAGAGTATATAAAATGTCAATAATGGTAAACGTATGATGACGTAGGGAAAAGCGTTAAGTCGTTAACAATTAAAAATCTAGTACCAAGTATTCTAGACCTACTTAAAGCGTACAAAATTGTACTTTTAGAATTGCAATGTAGTTTTTACAAGCCACGGTACGCATTTGTTAATAGTGTTGTTAAGCATTACAACTAAATCACTAATGTCTGTAATCTATGTATAGAAAATATTGATAAACGATATATTTATGTTTTGCTACAAATTCAGTTGTAGTAACATAAATCTGAATTACGGAACGTTGTAGTCGTCGGTTCAATTTTAATCAAAATATAATTTTAATTTAATTCTAAATAGTCTTAAAGATAAATAAAATCTCGTTTTGTCTTGGAACTTAAATATAGCTTACATTACGTTAGAAGAGTCTAAAGACTTAAAATCCCCGATAACTAGAAAGTCAAGATATTTACAATTTGTGTTCCTATTTCGGTACAATAATATTTATTTTTGGTTTTGGTTTACAAATGCTAAATTGAATTTTATGTAACTAAGCTCCGTACTGTTATACGGAAGTGGTTATGTTTATCCATTGTAAATGGAACCCTGTATAGAACAAGCTATTATAGGGAATATCTTCTTTCTCTATAACGTCGATTTTGAATAAAACGTGAAGACAGAGACATGCACTACATGTTAATCTTATTCATTACCTCTAAGATTAGTTACCTGTTAACAGGGGACTGAAGCTTTATCGCTGCGAACGTTCAACAAATTACCCTTGTTCCATTCTATTGCAGGCGTTTTCTTAGACCAGTCTTAAAGCTCGGAAGAGCTTTCTCGGGTCTCGCTAAAATGTAAATTCGCCCGGCAAGGACATTTAATTTAGCACATCACAATTACGTGGCTATACTGTGAACTGGTCGATAGATTTGTACATATAAGTGAAATCTTACTATGTCCGTGGGCAATGGGGGGGACACATGTGTAAAAATCTAGTTAGATTGAAAAAATTGACGATACTGGAAGGAGTTAAACCGGCATTTCCACAGCGTTCCATGCTGCTGCTCTAATTAAATGATTGACGTGGTAGCTGAAGTGGTTAGTGTTGCTTACAGCATACAGTCATAGGTATATTCTAGGGTATCTAATAATATAACTTTTAGAAAACTTTAATATTTTTCACATGAAAATGAGATAAACTAAACATCTATTTAAGTAATACTGTGTCGCTCAATTGGTTAAAGTACGTAACGCTGGGGGTGCCCGTTTAACCCCGTCGTGAATGTGCAATAACATGTGAAAAATATTAAAGATTTTAAACATTGATGCATTTCGTTAATCGATTATTATTGTGGCTGTATCAATTTATAGTTTCCCCGGAATCGAACCTCGTATAACGCAAAGCCAAACTACGGGTTTGATCGTTGAGCTACGGATGCGATCTATACTGGTATAGAACTATTATTGTCTGTTGTAGAATTCTGTATGTAGAATGTTCTTTTAAGTATTATTAACATAATACATTGTAATTATAGTCTCTCTAATAATTTTTAATTGGTTTGTTTGTGCACACAGTAAAATCAACTAATGGCCCCCTAAAGAAGACTTATCACAAAAAATACTTGTAAAGCGACAAATTAATAAACTTGCATAAAGAAAGTCTTTCCTAAGGTGCGTAGGAGTTGACCTTTGGTACAAATATGTTTTAAGTATTCAAAATTGATACATCGTTTATTTTATTGAATCTATTACACATATATATTTTATTCATCATCTACTATTATCAATTATTGCCGTCTCTGTTTTATCGAAACCTGCCGTTAGACATTTAGATTATTATGAATCATTCCTCTAATCTACATTCGAATAGCACCAAGCACAATTCATCACTCCAAGATTAATAGTTAATTGTTGTTAGCTAAGTACTTAAAAACTGAGAACGTACAAACTTAATCTTATTATTAAATCAAACACATCACATTAAGGATGTTATCTTGTCAATATCGAAGTCCCTAACAGTGGGGCCAATAGTGTAGACATAAATATGCAACGACAGGTGGTAAAGTGTTCATGCTGAGCAACGCACGTCCACTGCGCCGTCCCACAACAGCGTATCTCCTTCAATACGCACAATGAATTTAAACTTTAAACATAAAGCAATACCTTCCATTATCATATGCAAATTTAATGTCACTTGCGTCTCCCATTTCGCGCGTTCAATCGCATCGCAAGCCCGAAGACGGGAGAATTCGAATTTATTGACCATTAATTCAAAATATTATTTTCACAATATAAGTACTCATTTATTAATTTTGAAATATTAGGTTCCGATTAATTTATATGTGTCTTTATGATATTTATTATGTATGTAAATATCAACTTTATTTATAATGGCGATTTTTTTTCGTAGCGACGCGCTGTGCGCTTGATTCAATAACTCGGAACTGGGCAGATCGGTTATATATCCATTCGGTCAACTTTGAGTCCAGCATAAGGATCTGTCACGTTGGTCTAGTGGTTATTGAGCTCGACTCCGTCTGTGGTTAAAATTTCGGGTCAAACGCAATGTTAGTAGCTACGGCATTTGGAATTATTTCTAAGAAAATTATAAGTTTTAGAGTATGGAAGATAAACATTCAGTCGATCCCGATAATCTTAACCAAGTTATTTATACTTTTAGTATAGTAACTAACTAACTCTTTCTAGTCGTAATGCAATACAAAAATATATGCATTCTTATTTGTAGTTGTAATTATTTTTAATATTAAATCACATAATCACGTCATCTTATTTGTTACAGACTATAGATTACGAGGGAAGAGCTTCGGTAAGTAAATATCTAAGATCTTGCTCCGAGCCTTAACTTCCAATTTAATCGAATATCTAAAGCTAAAATAGGACGACAGCGCATCTTGCTGAGATGTTATATGGCTAGTGTATTTCCGCGACCATCAAGTGAATTTCACGTGTGTCTGTCCTCCTCTAATATAAAAGAAGTACTGATACAAGTTTAATAAAATAAAAATAATAATAATTCAGAATTAAAATAAGTAACATTATTTGTTACTGCTTGTTGTAACATACAAAAGTGGTTACTTACTTCCTGAATTATGTACATTAATATTCCTAAAAACCTTAAAGTACTTGGGGTTAAGAATAAAAAACAAATCTGGCAATTCAAGGTCCAAACGTCAGATCTTAGTTTATTGATGAAAGAATAAGTCTAGAAGAACCTATTTTTTTGATAGCCGGATCACAAAGAGACAGAGCCTCTCGACCCAAAGCAGAAACAGTGGATTCTTTGCGCCGCGCGCGGTGACTACCACGTGTTGGCGAAGATGTGCAAAGAAAACTCTAAGCTGGTTAAGACAAAGGTAAGACTAATTATATTAAATTAAATATACGAGAAGGTTTATACGAGATTTTGACAGTTATTGACAGTAACAAAAACTGATAACTTCTTGTCACAATCAGAACAGAAAAGGTATAGTGTCAATCTATTAGTAGGCATTTTATCATCTATTTATTCATCAGCATGGTAAAAAGATTTTAGAATAAATATGTTATTTAAAGGTATGACTTAACTTGTCTACGAATATTTGGGTAATCCATTGGGGAACTACCTAAACATTCGTGGGTATTTATTTGTAAGTGTGTTGGTCGTGAGAGAGGCTTCCGCCATCTTTAGCGTCGTTATGGGGTGAGTATGGGCAGAGCCATGGGATATTTCGCGTAGTAAATGATTACAATTTTTTAAATTTAATTTAATACTCGCGTTAACTACAGACAAGACTTATGTCTGCGGATTCTTTGTGGTTATTGCGATCTATTAATAGTTCAAGTACAATTATAGGCAAGTATCATGCGCAACTGATTTTACTTTTATAATCAATATATTTGACATACAAGATAACAAAACTGCATCACAAGGCAACCACAGAATATAAACGTCCCAAACATATTTCATCGATTACGAAATCAGTTAAGGGCCCCGACGTATGTTAAACGTCGAACTTGATTTTTTATCCGATTTCCGTACTAAATTGGCGACGTCAGAGAGGCGATAAACGGTAACGGATGCTGTTCCCGTAACCCTCGTGTTTTTACTCAGCCGAAGAGCACATGTCCAAAAGGTGTGCCCCTAATTGGGTCTCGATACGGCGCCGGCGCAAGCGCCCCCCCGCCGTACCCGTATCTTGACATATCTACTTCTTTTATTTTACGATCCTTTTTTCGACTATTGTTCGTGCAGTTTTAAACTTGCGCACTTGATATATGACTATCTCTTGTATATCATTTATTGGTCAAGAGGTGGTCTGCTATTTTGGGTTCCGTAACCAAAGGGTAAAACGAAACTCTGGTATTAAGATTTTTCAGTGAGTTTATTCGGCAATAGGGTTGTAGATATATTAAGAACTGCTATAGTTAGAGATAATATTTTAACGAATTATGTACGTCTGTTACTGCTATCAAAAGGCGGCTTTCATATAAAAATCGCTTATCCTGGCAGTCATATAATATATACTTATAAATCCAAAGAAATTTTAAATTAAATATTTTTTATAATAATCCTATGACGAGAAAGCACTTCTACCTATAGCTACCGTGTCCTCCATTAGTAGAGAAACAACAAAATACTACGGTCCAGCGTTCAATCCCGACAAAAATACTTTTAACTAAAATAAATGTAAATAAAATTACCTTTTGAAGACCTTTGTATGACCTTATTTTTATGTGACCTCTGTTTTCGGTTTTCGTTAAGTTTGTTAATTCTATTGTTTCACATCCTTTTCTTTCGTCACCTCTTCATCTATTGTGTGTGGTATTTTTGTTAATTTCGATGATTGTTTGAAGTCCCATGGGTTCTTGTTAACGTGAAAGATAATATGTTTTCTCAATTAAATTTTTATAGTATAAATTAGTGGCGGCTCTAAAAACTTTTCACTTTAGTTTGAGTTAAAATAACAATGTCACTAGTTTATTGTACTCTGTTGTTTACGCAAAAATTACACATCGAACAACATATTTCTACCGGTTCAAAACTCTAAGTATATTAGTTAATGTAATTTTAACTACGACCCAATGTTACTGATGCTTTGCAGCAGTCTCTCTATGAAAAAGGCAAATTTTGGTTTACAGGCAAATACGAAATTGTTTAAAAATTAAAACACTCGTGTGCCTATTGATAGTAATGGTTGACTAATTCATCGACGGGTCATGAGATCGTTTTCCACCAGATCCAATGTGCTTTTGAAAATAAATATAGAATTTTTTTCTTAATCATGTCTGAAATCCCTAACTACACAAGTGAAAACGCCATGAACTTCAATTGCATCTTAGTTTCAACCCTACAAATGTTTAAAGCTAAAACAGGTCGACAGAGCATTTAGTTGCGATGTTATATGGCTAAGGCATTTCTCCTTCAGTGAAATTATCATCGTGCGTGTTTGTCTTCTGCCGTAAAGAGAAAGAAAAACTAAAAGGATTTCTGCGTGCAAACTATCATAATGCTTAACCCGAAGCACAGATTAATATTAGATCACTCAGAAGAAAACTTTAATCCGTTTTAACGTTTAATTGATCGTTTGTATTTAATCATTACGTTGATTAAGCTTTATATGACATCCTGGCGCTCCTCGCAGTACATTACTTTTATTGTGGGCGCAATAAAAGCCTTCACATTTATTGATTCGTTGTAAATCAAGAGTCGTCGCAATTGGATTTGTATTTTATTACCATCCACTTGCGGTTGCCTGAATAGTTGTTAAGTGCAGTTAATGAGGTGGTTTTTTGCGTCTACCCTCTTCTAATACGATTCTTGGGAGATGGAATTCTATTAAGAAATAGACTTACCATAATTTTACATACTCTAATGATAAAAAACTGCAAATGGACATCTAATTAAATAAAACACTTTAACGGTTTAAAACGCGATATATTAGCAGCCGTGGTCACGGGGAGACTAAAGATGGAGGATGTCTCTGACGACAACGTCGTTTTTTTACTTTGACGTCAGAGACATCCTCCATCTTTAGTCTCCCCGTGACCACGGCTGCTGCAAAGCATCCGAAACGTCGGGCCGAAGTTAAAAATCGTTTTCAAATAAGTTTAACTAATATATCGCGTTTTAAACCGTTAAAGTGTTTTATTTAAATGTGTACTACTCGCGTAAACTATAGACAGTATTTAATTAACCAGTATGTCATCTATGCATTGAACTTTGCACCCAAATTTGTATCCATGGTGGAAGAGAGGATCTTCTATAAAACTGCAAGTTTTTACTTTAAATAGTCACAAGGAACTATTTTGATTGAAAACTGTTCACTATTTATTCTATAAGTAAAAAATTCTTTTAGCTTCATTGTTCTTATTACAGTCTTCTTCTCTCTTCTTAGGCCATTTCCGACTATAGCAAATTATCTCCATATTAAACGGTTGCATAGCTATCTCGATTACAGACTTGAGATACAAACATAGGCAGACAACGAAGTCTCAGTTTTATTTTTCATTTTAAAAATTAATTTGTGTATACATAAGTTACAAAAATAAAGCATTTTGTCTAAATGTACCTATAATCTGAAATGGCCAGCGTATCTGGAACACGGCTAATGATAATATAAAATTTGTCTCCAATTAGCCCTTCGGTCTGTCCGCTGCGACATCTGCTTTTAAATTTCGAGGCGACATTTCATTTTCTTACACATCGGGACCTAATAAAGCAACAGTAAATATTGTCAGACAATATGCAACACGTGTTAGCTACTGTACCATACTGTTTGACATTTGTCGACTCCACTCAAAACACTTTGATCATTATTTTCGTATTTGCTATCTCGCTGACGGAGTTATACATTTGTGTGTCTGTGTGGGTTGTAACTGCGTTTGTGTGTCATTTTTTAATATGGACACGTTCGTATCACGTACGAGACACTTAAATATGTCATCGTTGCTTCCTATCTGCTCTGATATTTATTAATTGAGACGGGACCGCCCGCCGCGCTTACCTCTGATTTCCGTTTACATTGAATTCTCCGAATTGCTTCACATTTACTGTGACCCCGACTGTGCGAAGGGGAATTAACACTAGTATTGGACAGTAGATACTTGCAAATCTTGTTATACGTAAAGCTTTAGGCTTTTTAAGTTCAATAATATTCAATACTTAGTTTCAATAATCGACTACCTTATTTACAATTTATTATAACTACGTCCGATGTTTCGGATGCTTTAGAGCAGCCGTTGTAATGGGGGGATTAAATTTCGCATTTTAAACCGTTAATTTTTTTTTTTTAAGTTTACAAGAAGCATCAACTACAGATAATAATCAATCCAGTAATATAATAATGTTTAGTGAACGTAAACGTTAGTTATTATTTGAATGTGTCTTGCTTTGTACAAAACAAAGAAAATCGCATAAAATTGTACCTAGTGATAATACTAACTGTAACTAAATGTTCGCTTTATATAGATGAACAGTTTAAAGCGCACTTTACGGGTGAATTCATCTAACAAATTATCCAGTTATCGTTTGAACATGAAACTACTAGCGAGCATCATTTTTTCCTATAATTTTGTAGCACGACATTTGGACGCAACTTAATTGTTGTACTATTTATTAAAGTAATTTATTATTTCCTCGCGAGTAATCGGCGGTTGTACTATTAATTACATAAATAACATATTGTTAAGTTACTTAACAAGGCATGTGTCAAATACACCCATTATCTTAAAATACTACCTGGGGGACGGGGCCTTAACAAAAACACAAACATCTTGCAATTTATCTACTTGAGGTAAGCGCGTGCGTTTTTTTTACGCCGCGTATTTCCGATATTGTACAAAATACCTTTCTCGTATTACAAATTAGATAAGATTCGAGACAGTTCGTTTGTTCTTTAGATTTTTAGATAGGTAGAATCCATGGGTTATCTAAATTCTAATGTAGGTACGACAACCATATTGTTTTTATACCATTTTGTATACAGGTTTTTGACTAGTCAAAACGTAGTGAATCTAATACGTGCTTTCACTATTGACCCAAAGACGCCGTAAGCCCGTTTCCCCCTCGTGGGGCATGGGGCGAACACATTTCTGTGTCCGTTTCACTGATCCGTTCTTTTAACGGGCAAGTAGTTGATCAGACTTCTGTGCCCTGCCTGACCGAAACAATTTTATGTTTCCCTGGGATTCGAACCCAGGACCTCTCGCGCTTAACGCAATGCTAGGCAAGACGTTTGACCATTTGGCTACAGAGGCGGTCGCCGTAAGGAAAGATTGAAATAGGTAATTTAAATACGAATACAAGGAGTATGTGCGACGTTGTTAATTGATTACTAGCATCGTTAAAACTTGAAGACAAAAATAATTGCGTAGT